TCTCAATGGAGAAAAGATTGAAGTTGTCAAGGACTTCATTCTTCTTGGATCAACTATCAACACTCATGGAAGCAGCAGTCAAGAAATCAAACGACATATTGCATTAGGCAAATCTGCTGCACAGGAACTTTTTAAAGTGTTGAAGAGCAAAGATGTCAGCTTGAGGACTAAGGTGCACCTGACCCAAGCCATGGTATTTTCAATAACCTCATATGCATGGGAAAGCTGGACAGTGAATAAGGAAGACCGTAGAAGAATTGATGCTTTTGAGTTATGGTGTTAGAGGAGGATAGTGAAAGTTCCATGGGCTTCCCAAAGAACCAATAGATCCGTTTTGGAAGAAGTGCAGCCAGAGTGCTCCTTGGAAGCCAAGATGGCCAAATTTTGTCTCTCATACTTTGGACATATTGTCAGGAAGAACCAGTCACTCGAGAAGGTTGGTAAGGTGGAAGGTCAGAGAAAAAGAGGAAGACTCCCAACAAGATGGATTGGTCAAGTGGCAGCATCAATGGACTCAAGCGTGGCAACAGTAGTGAGGTTGGCCCAGGATCGGGCACTGTTTCATTCTGCTGTGCATAGGGTCGCTATGAGTCGGTACCGACTCGATGGCACCTAATAACAGCAACAACAATATAGGGTTGCTATGAGTCAGAATCAATTCGGTGGCAGTGGGGTTTTTTTGATGTGGGCTAAGATATACTGAATGTTATTGAATCACACATGCAAAATAGCTGAATTGGTATATGTTTTACTGTGTATATTTTCACCATAATATTTGTAAAGTTCTGTGTGGTTCATTTTGAGTTTGAGGTGCCAGTCCTGGTGTGTCACTGTAGGGTAAGCACTGAACTGTAAGCCACAAATTCCAAGGATCAACCCACCAACTGCTCCTCAGAAATCCTAGCACTTACCAACAACAACAGTAATTAGATATCCAGGTGGAATGGGGATGTCAAGGAGGCAGTTGGATATGAGTGTGTAGTTAGAAAGGAAGATAAGGGCTGGAGATGCAGATGAGCTATAAACCTGGATTATATCAGTATATGGATGGGAGGAATCAATTAGGGAAAGGCGGCAGGAAGGACATTCTAAATGGAGCTTTCAATGTTATTTCTCCTGTTTGGTTGGGGAGTATTACCTGCACAGGACTCCAATCTCCACTAATGCTCATGTTTACTTCATTATAACGCCTGTCCAACTCCATAGGGTCCAATGGAACAAGTTGGAACAGAGAACAGTAGGAGGAAAATCCATAAAGGGAAGAAGAAGAATAAGTTTTTACTTGAAGATAGGTGACTGAAAAGAGTTTGTGTCTAAGCAAAGACCTAGAAAGACATGCATGAGAATCCTGACGAAGTGACTCGAAGGCACTTAACAACAACATATCACAATTTATTTATCTATACATATCTCGATGGGCATGTGGAATATTATTACCTTTGGTTATTGTGAATAGTGTTGCTATGCAAATGTGTGTGCCTGTACGTATTTGAGTACCTGTTTTATATTGTGGGGTCATATCCTGGTGTGCCCAAGCCATAGTATTTTCAATAGCCTCATATGCATGCAAAAGCTGGACAGTGAATAAGGAAGACCATAGAAGACTTGATGAAGTTATGGTGTTGGAGGAGAATATTGAAAGTGCCATGGTTTACCAAAAGAACCAACAGATCTGTGTTGGAAGAAGTGCAGCCAGAGTGCTCCTTGGAGGCCAAGATGGCCAAACTTCGTCTCTCATACTTTGGACATATTGTCAGGAGGGACCAGTCATTGGAGAAGGATATCATGTTTGGTAAGGTGAAGGGTCAGAGAAAAAGAGGAAGATCCCCAACGAGATGGATTGACAAAGTGGCAGCATCAATGGGCTCAAGCATGGCAACAATTGTGAGGTTGTTCTGTTGTGTATTTCGTTCTGTTGTGCATAGGGTCGCTATGAGTTGGTACTGATTCGATGGCACCTAACAACAACAACAATCCTGGTATGGCACTACAAGCTAATGCGCTGGACTGCAAGGTCAATTTGAATCTCAACGACAGCAGTTCAAGCTCACCAGCCACTCCTTGGAAACCCTAGATGGGATCACTGAGTTGGAACCGACTGGAAGGCACTTAGTAACAACAACAGCAAATTGTATTTCTATGTTAAACTTCTTGAGGAGCCACCAAACTAGTTTAAGAAAATCATTTTTAAGAGCTTGCCTCTAAATCCTGAGAGTCCTTAAGGGCAACAACCCAATCAGATTTCAACTGTTCCTGACAACTCAAAACTGTCCCAGCACACATTATCCCTCAATAAAAGATTGCTGAAATGAACTGAAGCCTAGTAGCCCAGGGTTGCTGGCAGGTTGCCAGCTACAAAAAGCTTGGCAAATCTCACTAGCATTTGCACCCCAGGGCAGCATTGCTGGAATTAAATCCCTGAAGACTGTGGTGTAAATTAGGGGTATGTGGTGGGTGCAGACCTGGTGACCTTGTCAGAGATGGTGACACCAAAATTGAATGTTGATAAAATTTTTGTGTTGTGCTTCAGCAGAAACTGGTTTTTAAATAAAAATATCCCTGTAGTTAGTTATAACAACAAAAGCACTTTTTTGTATGCCCAGCTTCTTGTTTTTAGGTGTCTTTGAGTCGGTTCTGACTCATTGCGACCCTGTATAGGATTTTCAAGGCTGTAAATATTTATGAGACCAGAAAACCTCATCTTTCTCTCATGGAACAGCTGGTGGGCTTGAAAGGCTGACCTTGTGATTAACGATCCAGTGCTTATCCTACAGTGCCACCAGCTTACATGTATCAATATATCTACAAGGATAGAGCTCTATCTAATTTACTCTTTAAACTTTCTAATGAGTTCTGGTCAGAGCTGTCATTATAATGACACTTCAATCCACATGGTTTTATCTGCATTCACTACAAGCCTACACAGTTGTTTTCCTTGCTGTGGGTGTTCTTCTAGTTGTTGATTTTGTCAAAATGCCTGGTGTTTTAGCTATCATATTGTGGTAATTAGTATTTATGAACTTATATCAGTAACTTTTTTGAGAATGAAGTAGTCATTAAAAGAAAAGGAGAAAAGTAAAAAAAAAAAAAAGGCTTCTGTTCAGTTACTAAGTTACTAATAATGTTGTAGCTAATAATGTTATAATTCAATGTAGAAAGATTTTATAAAACATTTTTGTTGTTAGCATTCATGTAATTGAAGAAATATTACATTTAATCACATAGTCTTCTAGGATTAAAATTGCTAGTAGACATTACTAAGGATTCTATACGGTCTGGAAATCCAGGGGGACCGGGGTGTGATACCATGAGTGGTATCATCCCAGATGATGCCATGGCCTGAGAAGACACAGCTGAGTGTCCTAAATCTGCAAGCTTAAGGGATCTCCACCTTTTCACAGCCCACACTATGAATAATTCAAGGTGGGACTGGTGATCAGATTTGAGAAGGGCATTGAGGTTAGAAAACAGGAAAAGGTCTAGATGCTCCTTAGTTGGAGAGGCTGAGGCTTCAGGTTTCCTAGGTGATTTATTTATCAGCTTTACCCAATGAGCCTGCCCTAGCTGGCTGGGTCCACCAAGATCTGCCCACAGATCCAGGCCCCTGTGGAGACTCAATTTCACACCAAAGCTTCCTGCTCTCTTGCTATGCTTTCAGTTTGTCTTCCCTCTTGGTTCCTTTCTCACCAGAGAAGGACCTAGGAGTGCATTTCTAAGCTGAGAGTGATTCCTTTATGGTCTCTTCAGCTTTGTGCCTCAGTGTCTCTCAACCCACCCCACAGCAACTTTACAATGATGCTGCACAATTTTATTATAACACCTCTGCAGGCTGCCGTTGAACATTCCAAACAACGACTTGCACTACTGGCCTAGGGCACAAATCTGGACCCCTGGCTTTCTTCGGAAGTCTCAGAAAAACCGGTGGTCTATAAAAAGAACCCTTGATTGAGTCAAGAAAACTTGGTTCTTTGCTTTGGCTTCCAGTAGAAGAGAGCAGCAGTTACAGCATAAGGCTTGGAGACAAACTGGTCCGGGCTCCAATCTCAGCTTCAACACTAACTTGTTTTGTGAGCTTGAGCAAGTCATTTCACCTCTTGAAGTCTCTTTCATTATTTCTAAAATGGGGATAATAAAGGTTGCACAGGGTTATGGTGAAGATTTAAAGACATATGATTTAATAAAATAACATATACAAAATGGTCAGGGCATTGCCTAGCACTTAGTAGTTGAGTAGATAGTGGCTTTCTTCTATTAATATGGGATAGTGCATACAAACACAGAAACCACAGTACGTTTCAGTGGATGAGAATCATCCCTTTCCATCCCACTGCATCTCTGGGTTCAGAGTCTCATTACCTTTTGCTAAGACAATAACTGTGTCTCCCAGCATAACCACCCAACATCCATCTTATACCTGCACTTGGGTTACTTTTACTATTCTGCTTCGCGTTTGTCATTTTGTCCTCAGCGTCTTGTGCATGGCAGATGTACAGTACTTATTTATTGAATGAATGACCGGGTTGTGAGGAAAAGATGTGGGATTTACTTGTAGCACTTTGCACTCCGACCTCCAACCCCACCCCAACACACACACACACAAGCCTCAGATAGTAGCTATTGCTCTGAAGGTTACTAGTGGAAAGACACTAGGCACATGCCCTCCCCTCTCTGGATACTGAGTTATCCACATAGCATCCCGGTTCTTATTTTCTTCCTGGACTCCTAGTGCGGTGCTGTACGATCAGCACTGGATCAGCACTGGATTACAAACCGCAAAGTCTGCGTTCCAAACCCACCAGCTGCTCCTCCGAAACCCTGTACTGGGTTACTACTATGAGTCGGAACCGACCGGAAGGCACTTAACAACGACAGGCCATGCATGCAGAAGGAGCTCAGTAAGTGCTTGTTCTGTGGATGAAGCTTCTTCCACAGGCTCTGTGTAGGACTGGTACAGACTAAGCAGTCTTAGTTCCCTCCGGGGCCTGGCTCCCTTCTGCCCTTTACCCTGCGGGGACGATGGGGCCTCCTTTGGCTTCAGTGGGCAGGGCGGTCTCTCCACCAAGGAGCTGGAGTTCCAGGGCAGGGGCAAAATACAGGTTTAGGAGAAGCAGGCGAAACGTAGGCAGGCAGGGGAATGGGCTTGTCTGAGGACCTGGGTCCACACTGGGAGACAGCTCCGCAGCCTGGGAGACAGACCCGCACTCTGGGAGAGCTACTCGGGGGAGGGCGGTGAGGAGCTTCCAGGGGGCAGAACAGTGAGTGGGTCCAGGGTCAGTGAGCGGCCGCTGGGCCGGGCGAAGAGGGCGCTGGGGCAGAGGGCGGGGAATGTGGGGGTGTGAGTTGGCTAGGGGAACCTCGGCGGCGGCTGAGGTGGAGCTGCGGGGGAGACAGGCCGAAAGACTGGGCCGGGGGGCAGAGAGAGGGCGACCAGTGGGTGCGCAGGGGCAGCGGGGTGGGGGA